TAGCAGCGCTGCCTGCACAAGGCCAGAACCGGCATATTTATACTACTCTTAACTTCTAAATTTCTGTGGAATTAAGGCTTAAAAGAAGCGATGTGAGGAATAGAGGGCACAATTGATATCTAGGTCCTTTGTAGCTGCTGTCAGTGCCATGTACTCTGCTTCAGTACTGCTGAGTGCGACGGTGGTTTGCTTTTTAGACTGCCAAGAAAACGCACTACCTCCTAAGATGAAAACATATCCAGTGAATGATTTTCGGTCTATCGTATCACCACCCCAATCGGCGTCGACATAACATTCTATTGGCTTTGCCATCTTTCTATAGTGCAATTTGTACTTCGCCGTCTTCGAAAGATATCGCAGTATATGTTTCGCTGCTTTTTCATGCTCAACATGAGGGTCAGTATTTCTCTGTGAAAGTTTACAAGCTGAATGCATTATATCAGGCCGCGTTGCAAGTGCCAAGTACATTAAAGATCCTATTAATGACTGATAATTTGTCTTATTAACTTGCTTGCATTGCTCGTTGTCGCATCTTACTTGAAAACCAGCATCTAAAGGAGTTGCTATGGGTTTACATTTTTCCATGCCGTATTCCATTAGTAGTTTCTTAATAAACTGTTCGTTGCTGATACTGATTACTCCTCGATCTTCATTGCCACTAATTTCTATACCCAGAAAATGGCTTAATTTTCCTTTATCGACTAATTTGAAGTTTTTAGCAATTGTAGTGTAACTGAAAGTCGACCATGCTCAACGTTTATAATTTATTCATAACGACAAGGGTTTCATATTTCAGTTGTTTGAATATTTTGAATATAGAACTCACGCATTGTCAGGCACACGTGCCAAACCGTCAAACAAACTAACTTTAAGCTTCAATTTATTTATAATATTATTTATGCTTATGCAGCAATTATTTCCCATATGCTTATGCTTATTTATGCTTATGCAGCAATTATTTCCCATAAATACCCCCAAAATGTTAGGCTAAGAATTCAATTGTAAAAGAACCTACAAAGCGACATTGAGTTGCTCAGTAAAATAAATTCAATACAATTAAAACATAAATGAATTGTTTCATTCGATACATGGCGATCCTGCCAGCTTTTTGCGAAAATTAATTTGCAAAAAAAGCTATCCTGCCAACCGGTGCTTAGATCTGAATTGCACAGTGGCAGTCTAGTGCTTTGCTGCACAGATCAGCCTGAATCCTGGTTTGCTTAAATTGCAAACGTGATCAACATGAATCCGCTCAAGATTTTCTGCTTCGTGGCTTTACTTGTCGCAGCCGCTAGTGCTGCACCCAAGCATGGCAAGAACAAGGATAATGCCGTCTCGAGTAGTTTAAAGCCCACTGATTGGTTATCGGTGTCTGAACTCCAGTCGATGCAGTCAGCTGAGGATTTAACTATGCAGCAGTTGGAGAACATGTCAGTGGAGGAAGGCGAACGAGAAATTGAGAAAATTTATCACCTCTCACAAATTAACCACGCGTTGGAACCATCATTTGTGCCAAGTCCCAGTAATGTGCCAGTTCTCTTGATGAAACCCAATGGTCAACCCGAACAAACCACTTTGAATGAGATGGTCGACGCTGCCAAGAAACAGCCCAACTTTGGCAATGAGGAAGTTACCATTTTCATCACTGGCTTGCCCCAGACCAGCCCTGCAGTCGCAAAAGCAAACAAAAACTGATGTGCGTCAATCCGCACTCATAGGGCCAGTAAGCGAATTTTCGCTCGTGGCAAAAATATTTTTTTTTATATACATATACATTACATTTCTTAAGTTACTTTCAATCTTACTTTTTAAAAAAAAAAAAAAAAAAAAAAATTTTTATGACTTTTTTTTAAATATTAAGCCAAAATTTTATCAATAAAAATAAATAAATGTTAATTAAAAATTTACTAAAATAAGAATTAATTAAAAAAAAAGATGGTTATAGTTACATACAATTTTTAAAAAACTTATATTATAGGAGACAATTAGAAAAATTTAAAACTGGACATACCAATACAAATACTACAAACTTGGCCTAAAATGGGTCTATTAGACGTAAAAACAGCAGTAAGTCAACAATTGAACAAGAATTAACCGCCATACATTGGGCAATAACATATTTTAAACCATACATTTACGGAACAAATTTTCTGGTAAGATCAGATCATAGGCCACTATCTTACCTATTTTCAATGAAAAACCCTAGCTCAAAACTAACTAGAATGAGATTTGATCTTGAAGAATATGACTTTGTGGTAGAGTACCTTAGGGGAAAAGACAACTATGTTGCGGATGCATTATCACGCATTACAATTGACGATTTAAAAGATATAAATGTTAAAAATAACATCTAATACAAAATGCAAACAAGATCTATGACAAACAAAAGTTCTCTTAATCAAAACACAATTAAAACGCATCAATCTAATACATATGATAAGCCCAGTATATATGTACCTATTAATAACACTGACGTGAGAAAATACTATAAATTAAAGATTACACCCAAGACATGCTATATCAAACGGGGTAAATCTATTAAAACATATATACAAATCAATGATTTGTTTGTTAAAGGGAAATTTGACTTAGGTCAATTTTTCTCTAGGCTCGATGATGAGGCCGATAAGCATTCAATTGACAAATTACAAGTGGCACCTAGTGAGAAAATTTTCGAATTTGTCTCTATAAATGAATTTAAAGAAATGGGCAATAAAAAATTTATTAAAATGAAAGTAGCGCTACTGAATGAGGTGACCCAAATAAATTATAAAGATGCAAAAACAATTGAAAGTATATTAAAAAGATATCATGATGACCCGGCAGAAGGAGGTCATTGTGGCATTTCAAGAACCTTGAATAAAATAAAAAGATACTATTACTGGAAACACATGACTAAAACAATCACGAAATATGTTAAGAATTGTCATAAGTGTCAAATAACCAAAGTCACAAAACATATAAAAAGTCCAATGACTTTGACGCCAACACCAAACAAGGCATTTGATACAATATTCGTTGACACAATCGGCCCGCTACCATTGTCCGAAAATGGAAATGCATACGCAGTCACGATAATATGCGACATGACTAAATATTTAGTGACAATACCAACTAAAGATAAAAATGCAAAAACTATAGCTAAGGCAATTTTTGATAATTTTATTATCGTCTACGGTCCTATGAAGACGTTCATATCGGACATGGGCTCGGAATATAAAAATTCACTTTTAGAAGAAATATGCAAACTTTTAAATATAGAAAAACTAACATCAAATACCCACCACCACCAGACGTTAGGGACGGTCGAGAAATCACATAAAGCGTTTAACCAATATGTAAGGTCAAATGTATCGATAGACAAAAGTGATTGGGATGAGTGGCTTAAGTATTTTACATACTGCTTTAATACAACACCATCAACTGTACATGACTATTGTCCATACGAGTTAGTTTTTGGAAAACTTCCAAATGGGTTTCAACAATTTGATCAGGTTGACAAAATAAGCCCACTTTATAATTTAGATAATTACGCTAAGGAAATTAGATTTAGGTTAGAAATATCTCATAAAAGAGCAAGGGATATGATAGAACAAGCTAAGATAGTACAAAAATCTTATTTTGATAAAAAAGTTTTAGATTATAACTTTAAAATAGGTGATTTAGTTTTGCTAAAAAAACGAATCAGGGCACAAATTGGACCCACAATACAAAGGACCATTTAAAATTAATAATATAGATTTTAAAAATAATGTAACTATAACTGATAAGAAAACGGGAAAAACCCAAATTGTACATAAAAATAGAATTAAGATATATAATCATTAAAACTATTTTTTTTTAAGTTTAAATAAATTTATAAACTATTATTATATTTAATTACTTGCTAAATAGGAATGTTCATACAATAAACTCTGTATGAGCATTCTTTTAAAAAAGGAGGTGTAGTGTAACTGAAAGTCGACCATGCTTAACGTTTATAATTATTTAATTTATTCATAACAACAAGGGTTTCATATTTCAGTTGTGCCAAACCGTCAAACAAACTAACTTTAAGCTTCATTTTATTTATAATATTATTTATGCTTATGCAGCAATTATTTCCCATATGCTTATGCTTATTTATGCTTATGCAGCAATTATTTCCCATAAATACCCCAATATGTTAGGCTAACATTTCAATTGTAAAAGAACCTACAAAGCGACATTGAGTTGCTCAGTAAAATAAATTCAATACAATTAAAACATAAATGAATTGTTTCATTCGATACACAATCTTTGCTTTTGTGCTTATCAACTCATCTTCATCTGTACTAGCCAACATCAAATCATCTACGTAAACTGCAATAATGCTTAACACTCCCTGCGTCCTCTTTACGTAAAGACATGGCTCGCTTGCACATGGAGAAAACCCGATTGATATCAGGACGCAATCTAACTTGGCATTCCACTCTCGACCTGACTGTTTCAGACCATATAGAGACTTATTAAGTTTTAGTACACGATTCGGATATGTTTCATCAATAAAATGCTCGGGCTGTTTCATATAAACCTCATCCCGCAAATCTCCATTTAAGTATGCACTTGCTATTTTTTTCAAATGTAGTTAAGCTACTCTGACTCTCATGGCCTCACCTTTAAAAAAATAAAATTTTTTATTATTTTTGCTTAAATCCTCGCCTTACTACATAGAGATCAAATTTCATTTAATTTTTAGTGCAATAAATCAATTAAATAACCATTAATTTAATTTCATCTACTTACTCTGTATATATAAAGACACCTGTTGGCGCTATAAAAATTCCCGAGCCAATAATTGTACCCACAATTATAGCAACTCCATTCATTAGCGTCAATTTACGTTCTAATACGATTTTATCACCGTCGTCCGAGTAGTCAGCGGCGACTGCAGCATTACCGCTGCCATGGCCATTGGCGACGGAGGCGGCAGCTGCACCATTGCTTGTAACAGGTGGCGAACTATTCACCAGACTGTTGGTAACACCATTAGCATATCTTTCAGTCATTTTTCTGCACTGATTTTATTTTTTATTGTAAGCTGTTTTGTTTGTTCTTTTTTTTAAATGCCGTAACTTTTGTACTTTTCGCTTATTTTGCACTTTTTCACGAATTTTCCAAATAGTTGTGTCACCTCGCAAAAATGCATTTAATTTGTATCAACGCATTTTTGTACATACATACATATGTATATAGTATACATACCCTTTATTATGTATTTTATACACTTTTTATGTTTATAGTCTTTTTGTATTTTATTAAAATACAGTGTTTTACCCTAATGCATAGCAGCAGCTTAAAGCGCATTTAACTAATTGTCGACTCTCGATTGGTAGTTTTCCAAAACCGACCGTTCGGCTGGAGCTCTCGTCGAGAACTGTTCAATGGGCAAACTACTTAACTTAAGTTTGCCGTAAATGAAAAAAAAATTTAAGTCAACTGTCCCTGCCAGCCACGGCTCACCACTTTCCCCTGAAATTAAAACGAATTACAAACACATTCACAACTTTTTAGTCATCTCACCCACACACTTACAAATTTTTTGTTCGAACTGTCAAAAAAATGTTCCTTTGTTAGATCTACATACCCGATAAGAATTCGTACTCTAATAAGAATGCTATGCGTTAGAGCGAGCAAGTTAGAAACATCGGAGTTTTGATGATAGTATACATACTGTGAAGAAATGTCACTTTGCGAAAATTTTGAAGGTAAGGATACGTATTTAACAATTTTATTTAATTATAATGTAATTTCTTCTTTTAGATTGCAAAACAGCAGCGACTTGGTCACATTCTTAAAGTATGTATTGAGACTTTTTATATGTTTATAAATTTGAATTGATATTTTTTTTTGTTTACAGGTTTGGAATTCACCATCAGCACCTTCAACGCTTGCATCCTCATCGCCAGGAGCACCATTAAAACCTTCTGCCCTCAGCTTCTTCATCGCCAGGAGCACCACCAGTACCTTCTATCCTCAGCTCCTTCGTCGCCAGGAGCACCATGGGTACCTTCCGCCCTCAGCACCTTCAACGCCAGGAGCACCTTCAAAGTGTAGGTCCAACTTGTCAAATTTTGCAAAGTTGTAAGGAAACTTAATTTTTCTGAACCAGCAACTCTTAATATACATCAAAAGTTGTAACGAAACTGAATGTTTGTGCACCATTACAAATGATTTGCAACTGTTCATGTATATTAAAAGAAAGGTAAATCGATTACCTTTCTTTTTATTATAATATTTTTAAAATCGGTTAACTATTTTATAGAAATTTTGCAACTTTTGAAAACATGTATATACACACAAAGAAAAAGAGAGGTAAATCTAACCGAAAAAGACGATTAAAATTGCAGTGACCGAAAAAAATTGTAAATCAAACCGACAAAAAATTGTTATTATGAAAGTTCGTGAAAATAGTTCGGGTACCATTAAAAATAGTTAGCTTACCATCGAAAATAGTTCGTGTACCACGAAAATAGTTCGTGTACCACAAAAAATTGTTTTTTAACCATGAAAAATAGTTCGTGTACCACAAAAAATTGTTTTTTTACCATTAAAAATAGTTACTTTACCATGAAAATAGTTTTATTACCATGAAAAATAGTTAGTTTACTATGGAAAATAGTTTTTGTACTATAAAAATGGTAAAACTACTATTTTTTACCTCCAAAAGTTGTCCACTTACCATTTTAATAGTTA